TAGGGAGGTTTGAAGGTGAATTCGAAACTGATGGTTCTTAATTTCGATCAAATATTTATGTTATCGCAGAAAATTAAATGTTTTTACAAGTTGCCTTTGGTTCAGAAATAAGGCAAGGAAATTAACTCTAAATGGGAAGAGAGTCGAAATTAAAAAACTGCAGCTGGAAAATTATTTGATGTGCATTTTTGATATTTATAATGAACGAGGAAATCTATTTAAATAACATTAAAGATTAAGTAGATCGAGAGGAAATACTGCAATTAGTAGCGACTTATAAGCCAAATAAAATAAAAACAACTACCCTGAGAATGAAATTAGTGTTCACAGATAAACTTCTCATTCATCGTGTTTCGAGATTTTTTCGCTCCGCAGAGAAGCCTGAAATTGATAAACAAATGTCTGAGCAGTTAAATAAACGAATCATAAAACCAAGATGTTCCGTTTACTCAAGTAATGTTGTGTTACGCAGAAAAAACTGGCTCTACCCACTACGTGTAGACTTCAGATGCCTGAATAAAAAAGTAATTCGCAATCGCTTTTCACTGCCATTATTTGATGATGTCATTTATAAATTAGAGCCAGCGATGGTATATAGTACATTAGACTAGAAGAATGTTTTTTTGCTATACGAAGTAAATGAAGAGAGCAGAAAGTAACACATATTTCATAACTCAAAATGGATCATATTAATTTTAGAAAAATCTTCTTTGGTCTTGTTAATAGCCCAAGCATATTTCAAAGATATACGTACGATGTATTTCATGATTGTTTAAAGAATGACAGTATAGTAATCTATCTAGATGCTATCTTTATTCCTTCTGAAAACGAACCCAAAGGAAGTCAGAATTGAAACGTGTTAATCTATCTGTGTGCTATCTTTATTCCTTCTGAAAACGAACCCAAGGGAAGTCAGAATTGAAACGTGTTAATCTATCTGAGTGCTATCTTTATTCCTTCTGAAAACGAACCCAAGGGAAGTCAGAATTGAAACGTGTTAATCTATCTGGGTGCTATCTTTATTCCTTCTGAAAACGAACCCAAGGGAAGTCAGAATTGAAACGTGTTAATCTATCTGGGTGCTATCTTTATTCCTTCTGAAAACGAACTCAAGGGAAGTCCGAATTGAAACGTGTTTTTAAAGACTGCATCGGAATATGCATTAGAAATAAACATTAAGAAATGTCAGTTTTTAAAACTTGAAATCGAAGGAGGCCTCCATGTCCAAGAAAAAATATGTAGAACGTTTTGTAACTGTAAATATTCATGCTCCTGTCGTCTATTTTCATAGTGTGTAAAAATTGGTGAAAATCTTCATTAAATGTTCAAGTTAAAATGTCAGTTGGAGTAGTGTATGCATTTAACCCTAGACTTAAGAAAGCTTCAGCCATTTCATTAAATGTTTTTCTAAGAGACCAAGGTAAGACGGAATCTGCAAGTATGATAATGTTGTTAATTTAGATTTTTAGGAGAGAACTTTTTCTTTTAAGCCGGAACATAATTGAATGTCTCTCAATGATGCAACTGTATTGTTTCATTCTAGATGGGCGTTTATTTTTGGTGCAAATGTCTGAGATTATTTTTGCAAATTCTTTGAAAATTCTGGTATTTAATGAACATAAATGTTTTTCATGTATGCTCTGGTATATACACGAATTTCAAATTTTTTTCTATTGGTTTCATTTTAAGTGTTAGAATAGTTTTAGTATTTAATTAACATTAATAGCACATTCGGCTAGAAGCTATGCAGAAAATACGCTGTAAAATAATCTCATTTCCAAAGTAAATTTTCAGCTTAGTCCAATTACGCTTAGTTTTATTATAGTCCTAGAATACTAGGAAATGTTTTCTAAAATTATAGAAAGGACCTCAATGTTACATTTCAGTATCGACAAAGAATTTTGATACCTTAGTTTTTTCCCTGAATTTAAAAACGTTAAACTTGATGGGAAAAAAAATCTACATTTGACCGCAAAATTTAAGAATAAACAAAAATAACCCAGTAGCCGAATGCACATGTAAAGTCGACCGAGAGATCAGTCAGGAGCTCACTTAAGGTCGACTATAGAAGGATATGCTCATATACACAAACTGTGCACCCTGAGCATGGAGGAAGGACACAAAAGATGGAGATGGTGTATGCGCGGTATTTCAGTGTTGAATAATATATAAGACACGCCGGTTTTAACTACGTCGAGTTAATATTACAACTTGGTATATCCAACAAACAGTGCGTAGACATTTCTGGATAACATTATTTGAAGTCGAATTATTGGAAAATTGGCAGATATATATTTTTATATAGATATATTTACCAGTTCCATATGCAAAATTTCAACGTTCTAATCGTTTTTGAGTTATGCGAGCATACAAACATACAAACGTCACGAAAAAATCCCTACTGTATCCATTTTAAAATTCGTTTTAGAAAAAAGAGCCCTTTATTCTATTAGTATGTACAGAAATAGTCCAAAAAATAGTCATTCAAATGTCATTCAAAAAATAGTCCAAAAGGATTTGGAAGCGGTCATAATAGATATTTTGTTTGAAATATGACACCCGAAATTTTTCGAGATTACAAAAATTTTATTTCGTACAAGGAAGTAAAATTTCATCTATATAAAAAATAGATGCGCTGGAGTAGGCGCACTAAATACTGAAATATGTGTGGCATCAGTTAGTACATGAAAGATCTTGAAGTAGGACTCTGTATTTGTTTTAATTATAACTGAAAATTCACTTTTGAATTTAAAACTATGAAATAATATTAGTTTGGAGCCAGATGGATAGTTGTCTGACGTGAATGTCTTTAAAAGGATATCTTGAAGAGCGAGAAATTTAAATTAAATAGGGAAAATCCATTGAAAACAAAAATAAAACATTGGCTATGTTTCTCTTATCTTCCCTAGACGTAAATAGGCTTTCCCGCTAGATCTTAGTTTCCCTCTTTCGGTTTTTTTCATTCTAACAGGGTTTTCTATTCAGGGAAGAATTTTGAACTTTCTTACGGTTTTTTCAGAACTTTATTATCATAGGATGGGTTAATTAGTAAAGTATAATTCGAATGTAATGGATAATGTTTAGTGACAAAAGCAGGGATAGATACATAAAAATTTAGGACATGTCAATTGTGAAACATCAAACTTTTTCATCTTTCAGAAGATGAAAAAGTTGGAGAAAGACTTACAATTTATATTTAATTATGTGTAATAAATTATGCATTAGAATAAATGTTGAAAGCATAGAGAATTCTCATAACACTTGAAAAATTTATTACGCTTAATCATCAAATTCCTTACTTTTGAGGTATTAGAACATCGTAATAAATCACTATATTAAATATCACAGATGAAAGATAAATTGAAACTCTTATTCTAATTTCTTATTGTTGCATTGATATTTATATTTTTAAACAAAAGTACAAAAATATTCAAGTACATCTGCTATCAACCTAAATATAAACAGAAATTTCACTGGTATATAAAGCTTAATGTTCACTTTTTACATTTGTACAGATGTACTCTGTGATAAACCAAGAGACACAATTAAAATATATATATTTTAGCATAGTATTTTGTTTTCGTTACTGAAAATTATGCAGCATTATAGTTTTCTTATAAACCTGTTTTTACCCATATTGAAAAGCCAGTATTATGGTCCTTTAATATAGTGGGACTCGTATAATTCAATTACTAGGGAATTAAGGTGCAAAATACATATTTTATTCGTAAAGCTTAGAGACATTAGGTTTTTTTTGGAAGAAGGAGAGATGGAAAATGAACAGTGCCCTCGCCGGGACTCGAACCACGGACCTCTCGAATACACACCGAGCGTGCTGGCCACTACACCACGAAGATATGCTAAGAAGGCGGGAGAAATACCTTATAAAGTATTACACAATTTACGTGTACTGATCTCCAGGAAGGTATCCTTCTCTTTAATAAAATATATTCCAAGGTTTTCATCATTAATTCGTGCTTTCATTAAAAGAAAAATATTACCTAAGAATGTGATGAAATTAAAGACGCAACACCTGTTTGCAGAATTTAGCGGTAATATACATAATAATAATAATTAAGAAATGGCGGATTCATAGGGGAAAAAAAGCTATACGTTTCCTAAAATGTGAAATAAATAAAATATATAACCGCTGCCAGAAAATAGTAAATTTTAAACAATCGCGAATAGACAGCAGTAAAATTTGTGATTAAAAAATGAAAGAACTTAAACTTTTTTTAATTTTGAAAGTACACACCTTCCATTATTATTCTGTACAGACATCTTGACATAAAGGCACTTATCGTGCTAGGGGATTTTATACACTTCGCCATGCATTTCGGTTAACAATACGTTATGAAATATAGTTATTGTTTGCTGGAGATCTTTATTAAAAATAAAGCGCTTTCTACTCAAAACCTTAATGGGAAAAAAAAAGAAACCCCGCAGTTGCGTGAGAGAGAAAGGGTAGGGGTTCATAGGTTGTATTTTCCGAACCCTCTTAAGCCCAAACCGAAAATTTTGAACAGGTATTGTATGAATGCCGAGGCATACATACGGTCTTTCATTATCGTAGAGAGTTATTAAATTTTTGGAAGCGCTTTGATAACAGAAATAAATACCTGAAAATGACAAAAGTTTATAGTTAGGTTGGTGGTTGAAATATATGATGGATGATGTATAAAAGCTAGCTTATGGGTTGAGAATTTTTGAACAATGCTTTAGTGCTATACGAAATAATAGCCCAAAGTAAAACATTTAGCTTATTAATTATATTCGTTCTTTCTGTATTGCACGAGGTACTAAGAATTTGGAAGTGCCTCATATAATTGTACATCATAAGTATTAACAAAGACAAACTAACGTATTTAATGAAACTTTTCCATTATAAGAAAACGTTTTAGTTGCACTCTTTTTAACATAATTTTTTGATTATAAATATATAGATCAGTATATATTTCTTAAAATTTTACCGTTGAATTGAGATTAGAAAAAGTACTTACTTAATGACGTGGATCATATGTAAACCCATTTCAACGCAACAATGAGCATGATCCGCTCTGGGCTCAGGCAAACCGCTTACACAGTAGTAGCAGTCTCCGAGGAGTTTTATCCGGAGACAGTGCTGTTCCTGGAAGAAAAAAATAGTAAAATATCATTATGCTAAAGAGAAAAGTGTTAAGTTCTAAATAAAGGTTTAAATTATTTTAGAAGCATTTCGTAATGTAATTGTTATACTAACTGTCAAACGAAGGTACATAATATAACTGTTATACGAACAGTTAAAGGTTGTGACACAAAAGGGAATACAAAAAGCAAGGTAAGAAGATGAGTATTTGTTGTTGTTATCAAGATAATTAAACTGGAGAAACGCAAGTGAAAATTTACTTTTGAATCAAACTGTAAAATCACCCTTTAATAAATTAACTGTAATTACAAATTTTAAAATTAATATTGTATAAGAAATGTATTAAAAGGATACGATTTGAAAGAATTAATTTTATATTTCGTGATTATTAATTACAACAACATGGTAAAGAAATCATTGTTAACATGGATCATATCATATAACAGTTAGGAAAAAACAGATTTTAATATTTTAATGAGTTTCCCATAGAGAAATGTTCAAATCTCGTATTATATTTAACCATCAAAATTATCAAAATTAACATTGTATAAGAAATGTATTAAAAGGATACAATTTGAAATATTGTTTTTTTATATTTCGTGCTTATTAATTACAACAAAATGGTAAAGAAATCATTGTTAACATGGATTATATCATATAACAGTTAGGAACAAAAATACATTTTAATATTTTAATAAGTTTCCTATAGAGAAATATTCAAATCTCCTATTATACTTAACTGTCAAAATTATTAAAATATAAAAAAATAAGACTATTTAACATAAGTTCTAAAATTTAATTTAAAAGAAGTACACGGACATGTTTGCTGTTCCTGACTAACTATTACATTATTGAGGCAAAAATGATTCTGTAATATTTGACTTCCGCCTAGGAACACTTCGTTACTAATTGGGTTGTTAGAATTTGCAAAGAACTTGTAAAGCTGTTAATAATAAGCAAGCCATCGCATGCAACAAAATTTTTCGGCGTACAATAGATGTTTGAGGAGGTTGTCTCGTAGGCTTCCTCAGTGCATTAATTATAGTGCATTACTCGACACCTGTAATAAAACTATTGATGGGTCCTTGAATATGTAATTTTCCGACTGGATATTTTAATCTGGAGAGTGTAATGGCAGAGATTTTTCCAGGATTGTGCAGTCTTCACGAAGAAGAAAACATATTCGTAAAATTGGTAAGAACTGCTACAAATGTCAGAATAGTATATAGGATAAACTTTAAACATTAAGAAATATCTCAATACGGATCTCAAGTAAAGCTCATGTTGATGTCATGACCATCTCTGCATTAATCTGTGAAATAATAAAGAAGAAAATAGAAGCTATAAAAAGCTAATCCATAATAGCAATAATTATCATCGAATTCTCATGAAACTTGTGAAAATAATAGAATTTTAATAATTTCAACTTTTTTCTTTCTCTGAGGCTTGTTTGTGCTTGTTTAATGTTCTAATTGTTACTTTCGTTTCGTGTTATAACTACATGGAAAGAAAGAAAAAACATTTCTGGCTATTCTTGTTAAGTGACAAAAGTATCTATATGGGTTTACTTGAAAAGTTTTATTTCCTGGTTTAAGTGGATAAGATAAGAATTTACTCAAATATAACGTTATCACTGGTTTCAAACATAATTTGTATTAAGTTTCTATGTCTGATATATCCGTAAAATATTAAAACCTCAGCGGTTTATTTCGTTATTTTCATATTCGTGAAAAATATTTCATCATAATTAGTATTTTGGCTGCAATAAAAGAATACGAATTTAAAAGTTTAGATATATTTTCATTGTCGATTAATAGAAACAAAATTTCTATGTTTTCAGTTGTAATAAAAGCATGGAAATAACAATAAAGGTTTTTATCTAGGAAATAAAATTATCTCGGATTAAAATTTATGATAGATATTGTTAAAATCCTTGTAAATATAATAATCAACTTTTGACAATTACATGTGCAAGTCTATCAAACCGAGCGAAAAGGTCATTGAGAACTTGTACCAGTTCCTGTGCAGAACATCTGGATGCCAATGCTGTGAAACCTTGAATATCAGCAAAGAGGATGCTAGAAAAAAATAAACAAGTAATAAATAGAAGAAATGAAAAATTGAAGCGTCCATATATGATTACATTTGTACATGTTTGCTTTGTCGTTTACGGGATTAAAAGGCAAAAACTGTAAAGTTTATAGTTAATGTATTCAGTAATGAAATGAAGTAATTCAGAAATATTTAAGTACTGTAAACTTAAGTATTTAATGAAGTAATATAAAAATGTCTCTACTGCAGCTATTTTCTAACTTCGTTTATGTATTGTTTAAGGGTAAGAAACGTAGAAATTCCTTAAAATCAATTATACCCAATAGACAATAGCATATCATAAAATGCTTAAAGTTTAATTTTTGAAAATGATAATTATGGTATTTTCTAAAGACAAACTTATTTCTACATCTCATCGGTATATTGGTTTGTTGAATTTAGAAACATATTTTATAAAATAGTTTCAGAATTTTTAGACGAATGAACTTATTATCAACATCCCATAAACACTGTAGGTACTACATGAAACATAAAGGTTTTAGATTATTTTTTACACAGCTTGGCAGAAACCCAAAGTGTTGCCATTTACCTTGACGTAACAGAATTAAATTATCTTATTTAGGTGTTTAAAAAACGGAACAATTTAAAAACAATACACACACTTCTTTCTAGTTTAAATATTGAATGCGTAAAACTGATTCAACTGATACAGTTAAAGTGCACACTTTTCAATACATATGACATTTTCATAATCATGAATATGTCAACATTGTTGTAATTAACAATGCAGAACCTTTTTAACGGCACATTTGTTTCAAGTAGTTTGGAGTTCCTAAAGCAAGCTTTTGAAATTTAGTTAAATTTATTCAATTATATTGAGTTCTCTATATAGGAAATAAATCTATTAAAACTCTTATATTGTATTTTCAGTTAATCTATGACTTAACCGTTTGACTAGAAATTTAAAAAAAAACCGTTTACCTCGTTTTCTATCCAAGTGAAGAGAATATGCCATAGATAAGGTAAATTTAGCATTTGAGATTTTTATTTGACAAACGATTTTCAAGCCAAGGGCTAGAGGATATGTATGTCCAGCCGTAGTTAATGGTGGGATATATATATATCCCACACGTAGAGAGCGACTTACTTTATTGCACAAAATAGGTTTTACATCGTTTGATGCAGGGTAAAACATTCTTTGGTAACTATTGCCCTTCTTTGCATAACCTAACTATTGCCCTTCTTTGTATAACCCAACAACTACTAAATTTACTCGTCTGCAGTTCAAAAAGATACCTTATTTAAACTTTCGAAATTAGTTCTGCAACTTATGAATATTACTCTAATTCTTGTTGTCTTAACACCTCTAATAATTGTTATTCATCGCTTTATTTTAGCTCAGATATGATTTTATGTTCCATATATTTATTTCCTGGAGACATTAATTAAATTATAATTCTAACTGTTGAGCTTTCGATACTAGCTGGGACGTGCTTTCCAATTATGCCCCGAAGGCATGCGTTAAAAAGAGAGAAAATACCTTACATTGCCTCTGACGTAAAAGGGTGACTGGCGAGGAGAAGATATAATTGCCAAATCCAGGTGCTGATGAATTATCAGTGGCGATAAATTATCCCTTTTCAGCTCGGGTGCAATTATAAAGCCATTGGGTTGTAGATAACTAAAGTTTTTGGATGTTGGAGAAGTGAAAAATGAGCAATGCTCTTACCGGGACTCGAACCTGGACCTCTCGAATACGCGCCGAGTGTGCTACCGTTACAACACGAAGGCATGCAGAAGAGAGAGAGAAATTACATTATAAAGGTTTATTTCAAACAAGTATCAACAATGCCTTCTCTTCGACTCGAACTCCGGACTTGGGATAGTAGCAGGGTGTGCTTTTCAGTTACACCACCAAGCCACGCGTTAAAGAGGAATTAGAAACGCAGATTATCAATAAATTGTAAAATATGGGTACGATAATGAGTGGAATGAGTATTTGAGTAATGAAGAGGTTTGAACGCTGGGATGAAAAAAATTGATGGGCATGTGTGGCAAAGAATTCATATCTTGGCTTCTCAAGCACTGGCATAAAAGTATTCAACTGTATAGGGAATATGTTGAACAGCAATGCTTTCTTTCTTTCAGTGTTTGCAATAAATATTCTGAAAACAAAAAATTAGGAATTTTCATTGAAAGGGAATGACACAGTGTTAGAAATTCAATTCCAGTTCACTTAAAAATAATCAGCTTGTATGATTTTATGTGAATGGTTTAACAGTTTTATTCGCAAAAATGAAAACTTTAAAATCTTTTCCAATTAATGTTTAGTTCAATAAATTAATTTTTACGTGTCTAGAAATAAGAGTATCAAAATGCAACGCATTCAAAAAATCGTATTCTTATGTTATTATTACTTGCACGGTAACAAGCGAATAGAAAAAAAAAAAAAAAAAAAAAAAAAAAAAAAAAAAACCGCAGTCTTTGATTATTTTTCCGAATTCTGATCATTTTCAAAAGTATGTGAGACGTGAAACGTGGTTTTCAAATACATAATAACGTTAAGTGTTTAATGAGAAGGAAAGAGAAATTGCATTTTAATGTCTTTTTAATTATTTCAGGGAAAATTAATGAAGCAGGTTTCATTTAGACAAGTAGATCTTTTCCTCATTTTAATTATGAAACATATTGATCTGTAAAAAGTAGAATTTCACATTTCTCTTATGTGTATGGCTTAAAAGATTATGGTATGAGATTTTCTTTTCTACTATTTATGCAGTTTTAAAATGTTGCCGTAAACGGATCATCAAAGAATTTAAGAATGAAAATTCAAAATTTAAGGCAATAAGATGCGAAATAATTCTTCGGTGAAAGGAAAATCTCTTACGATGTGTGACACAATTTTATGTAATTTTTATTTTATTATTATTATACATATTTGTATGCTTATTAAATAAATAGCCTACATATTTTTCTTAACTTTCCTACGTAGCCAAAGCTGCATGAATATCATTGTGTGACGTTCATATAAATATCCTTTAATGCGATTATAACTTTTACTTTCAGTAAAATGAATTTTTCCAAATTATTTTTTCACGTAAAACTGTGTCTCGCACGTGGATAAATAGACACTTTGGATGTTAATTAAATTAAATTTATTCTTATAAGGTGTATAAGGAAAAAAACTGGATAATTCAACAGCGCATAAGAGATTATCCGTTTTGCGTATTATACGTGCACTGAAAGAAGAGAAACAAAGAAAAAAAAAGAAAGAAATGACACTGTTAAAATAATAAGCACTGTTCACTTCTTTTTGATAGTTGTTCTAAAATTTATGTGAAATTTTTTTGCCTGAAGTTTTACGATTTTTTCATTCACAAAAAAATTTCTAAATTAACGACCTTTTATTAAAAGGGTAATATAAAAAAATAAGATTAAGAGAATATTTATGCATATCAACTAAAAAGCCACGAGTCAATTACGGGACGTTTTATTTGCAATAGTCAAGAACAGCCACTTGTCATCATTTTCCTTACGTAATACTTTGCTACTTTTTGTCCTGATCATTGCTAGCATTCTGAGTGTCATCAGAAAGTTCTTGTCTGATAAAGCGTCTTTTTTTATTTTCGTGTTTCGTCTTTTTTTTTATTTTCGTGGCATTAGGCACTACGCTGATAAGGAAAGATGTCCCGTGGAGGACTTTGTAAGGAAAACTGGCCCATATACACTTTACACATGGGGAAAAACACGAAAACACCTCTACAGCCAACCCGTTTGTCCGAGACTCGAATCCCAGACCGAACTATTTGTGTTCAGCGGTTATTGGCTTTTTTATCGTTCGGCGCTGGTGGGCCGATAAAACTGACTGCATCCTGAAAAACGTCAATTAATTATTATTTTTAATTTGGGTATTTCAATTATATGCAAGAATGAGTGAGCCGCAACAGCAAATTAAATTAAGGAGTAACTTCACAGAAAAAGGATTAAAATTACCCTTTATTAACTCTTTAAAATTTACAATGCTAACAAACTCGACGCTAACAAACTATGCCTCTTCTTGGGCGGTAACTGAAATCAGATAATGAAACTAAAAAATTTGAAGATATGTACAAGTGATAGAACTAAACTACAGGGCTCAGCTAAATCCCATTTCTTAACCCCCGTCGAAAACTAGTGGCCGCAAGTAAATGCAATTAAGCTACGCGAAACAGCAATAACTCTGGAAGCAAACACGCAAATAACAGAGGTGGCGATTGTAGCCTAACTTTCCTATTGAAACTCGGTTTTTAAACTGTTTCTTCAACGTAGAATTTGCATTCCTTCACGCGCGCTACCAAATTTAAATATTCTGGCATGGACAATTGGGGAATGAAGGCTTATAGGAAAGTTTCAAATTAAACTTGTTAGTTGAAATAAATATAAATCGATACAATGTAATCTGACATGTTGTTTCCGAATCCTGTTTAATAACCGCGAATTATACAATGTCAGTAAATGAGTGCTTGCTCGCTGCCTATACTTTACGCACAGGAAATTTGCATACGAAAATGTTTCTTCATTTCGACCGCAGTGCTCATAATCTTCGCATTTATTTGGCCATTTCTCTCCGTCAGGCTCACTATCCTCTCGACTTTTATTTTTGCGATTTTCACACCTAAATGTGGTTTGCGATATGTTGCATGGTGAATTTTCATCCCTTGATACCTACTATCATCCCTCTAAATTTGTTGGTCGAATTCGGGCACACCCTGCATAGAATTTACTGATATAGTTTTACCGTAATGTTCACTAAATCTGTTGAAAAAAAATCTCTGCATTGAATCTCTCAAAGCTAAAATCTCGAAAACCTAACCCTAAATTAACCTATCTCGGCCATGCGGATAGATGCTAATGACCATACGAATGAAAAGGAGGCCGATAACTACTGTAGGGTTTTAAGATCTCGGTACTGTATCCGCTAACTTTATACAAATGTGTATATTCATTCGTCGTAATGCTATCTCAGCTTTTCATAAGCCCATCATTACCATCGTAGGCAATCGTTTTTTACATTAAAGGCGAGATGCAAAAAATGTGGAACTTTTCATAGGTTATACAGTTGTCCTCCTCATAATAAGATTTGTTTATACTGTTATAAGGTATTTCTCCCGTCGTCTGCATGCTGGACGCGTATTCCAGAGGTGCGTGGTTCGATTCTCGGCGAAAGCGTTGCTCATTCTTCATGTCTCTTGCTTCCCCCCCGAAAAAAAAGAATACCTAATGTCTCTACACTGCGAAAAGAAAATTCACTTTTCTAAAAATGTTGATGTTGTACAGAATAATTTAGAGCATGAGTTGCATTATAATGGTAATGAATATTTTTTAGGATAAGTAGAAGATAAAAATCCATTTTCTAAAAGTAGAACAGAATGGTTTGAAAGACTAAAGTAAGCATATCTAAAGATTTATTAAGTTGGATACTGGCGTAGCAGACTGTTTTCAAAAGAAGAACTGAAAAATTATAATCATTATTTTAATTAAATTATTCCTTTAGTTATAATAATTATTTCATTTATTATAAATAATTTTTGTTTATTAATTAATAATATTTTATTATTACAGCATTTATGGCTCTTAGTTATCCTGGTTTATGGTTTCCAGCGCCTATACATGTGCTATTTAAAACAAAAGAAAGTTTTTTTTATTTCAGCAATTTTTAACATTTTTGGATTTTCCCTGCATTTCCAAGAATTATAGTGTAGACCTGACTGGGAGCTAAGACATAAATGAGAAAGATTCTTCTCATTGCGAGTATGTTGCGATAAATAGAATAAATGATTCACCTAACGTGGTTATAGCAATGAATATAGATACGATGAAACTGTTGAGCAGAAAGAATCTTGCGGTTGTTGTGGAATTCATCATCTTCGTCTGACGCCATGTCTTTAATCATCTCCAGAACTACGAAACGAGGCAAGACACTTAGCAGCAATCTCTCCTAGCAAAGAGAATGTAAAAAGGAAAATTAAATTTCAAAGAAATGATATATAAAGAAAATAGTTCAAGAGATAAAGTTTAAAGATAAAGTTCACAAATAATAGTGTTCACAATACTTCTTAATCTGGAGAATAAAAATTCTTTAAATACTTTGGTGTTTATAAAGGCTTAGAAGAATAGATACACATTATGTATTTCTATAAATAATTAAAAAAGGCATTGAATTTTATACATGAATATAAAGTCGGGACAAGGATGAGGTAATTAATCCAGGTTATTTACATAGAGGGTCTCCAAATTAGCTATGAAATTGTAGAAATATATTTAAAAAGTAACTTATGCTCATTAATTTTCACTTTTGATACACATCTAGAAGCATTCTTTTAAAATATTATGTTTAAACAATAAAAGGGCGCTGTAGTTTTGAAAACTTACTCGCATGGTTTTCCTTAAATAACTAGTTGAAACCAAATTAATAAAATATAATTAACTATTTAGAATTTAATATTTTAAGTGAGACAGAAAAATCATTATTACGCATTTTACTAACCCAAAATGATTATTAGAATGGAAACCCGATTTTGCCCTGTTTTCATTTTCATTCGAGTCTGTTGCCATTTAAAAAAGTGTAAAATATTATCCTTTCATATTTTATCAAATTGTCAATACCTAATTAACAAACTAAACTTTTTAAAAACAATAGATGAAGTTTTTAAGAATATCACCTTTTTGCTTTTTAAGATCTTTGATTTAAATAAAAATGCATTTAATTCACGATACATCTAATTAAAAATTTTAAATATATTTATAGAATTACACTGCATAATTTTTCACTTTTGAATATATAGGAGATATATAACGTTCCCATGTTAGTCAAAATGCATGTTTATCTAGTATCCTATAAAATGTTTTGCGATACCACCTGGGCCATTTCTATTGACATTCTTTACTGATAAATAGCAAATATCTTTTAGATTTATTTATTTATTTATTATTATTTTTGTATAGATTTTAGCTTACTAATATTGCTTTATATTTATATAACTGAATTTATATAAGTCATTAAGTAATAAATCATTATAATGGACAGAAATTAATAGATCTTTAAGTAGATCAATTTAAAATTTTATATATGTAGAATTTAACAGTGGAAGGAGCAAAAGGTAAACAGAGCTTTGCAAACAGAGACATCAACTATACTGTATAACAATATTATATATACAAATTATGTTAGCTGCATGCATAATAGGGAGAATAAGCTAATATAGAATCCGGTAACTACGATGGTTGCATGGGAGATTTCATGTTTTTCCACTTGTATAACGTAAAAATGATCCAGTTTCCTCTAGAAAGCCCTCCGCATGCTTTGCCATTTGAGTATAATAATAATAATTATTATTATTTTACTTATTTAATTTAATAATTATTACCATTTATAGTAGAAGGATTATTTTTTATACAGAAAATAAGGGAAAATATTATTGACAAATGGGAAACTTTGAAAAAATTATAAATCAACAAAATGTGAACAGAAGTGAAAAGGAAGGTTAATAAATAAAGGAAAAAGGATTTTTCAGGAAGATAGCTCTTTCATAGTAGAATGAAAGGAGTGATAGATATTTTACTCTCAAACTGAATTGGAGATACCAAAAATTCAGCTATTTAGATTTCGGTTTTTCAGTTTCTGTTTGGTGAAAAATTTACATCATTGGATTTATTTCTTTTGGATGTAGAAGTTTATAATTTAGCATTTAAGTATCCAGATGATGTAAACGCTCCAGATATTAAAACAGAAATAGGTAGTTTTGAGAATTACGATATTTTTAATAAATCTGGCGCCTCTAAATTAAGATCACATCTTTCAAAGTTAAAATAAGAAGATAGTTATTTCAAACACATCTGAATTCTAAATATGCATTAGGAACATTTTTAACATTGTCAGTCAGTACTGCTAGAATGGAAAAAAGCTTAAGAAAGCTTAAAATAACAATAGAAATTAAGCAAAATGTTCTCTGAGTCCCCTCCTGCCCCACCAAAATTAAATAATTGAATATAATTTAAAAAATAATTATTGCCGATTTTTACTTCGTTACAAACAGCAACAAAAAAATCCCTAAAAATGTTCTTGAATATGGAGGCATTACTTTTTTTATTAACAGCAATACTCTTCTGTATAATATGTCAGTCTTATTTGCTATTTATCAAAAAGATACTTTTTAGCGTTTTCAATGAAAACTTTAAATTACTATTTGCACTACTTTACTAAATGCATAAAGTTACAATTACAAAAATGTATAAGATTTAGCGTAGATTTACCATAATTATCTTTGTTGAATAAAAAATTGCAAAGATCTAGTTAATTTGACTTTTATGTCTTGTAAGATTCTGACTTGTGTATTTCTCAGTTACTGTAGAAGGTAAAGAATCTTAAGAACTGTTTAAGCGAATAATCGCTTGAGTTCTTGTGACAAGAAACAACAATATGGAAGGGTAAATAACCTTTTATTATTCAGATAAAAGTTAACAGAACTCCGTCTTGGAGTTTTACAATAAAGCCGAACACTCGGGCTTTGAACTTAAGATATAAAGAACTAAACTAAACGTAATTAACGAGATATAGCCGAAGCTATCAAGATTCTAACCGAGTTGGCCCCCTAACTCTAGTTGACTACGAAGCTATGAAGGGCCTGAGTACGGCCGAGCGTAATAACAGCTTTGAGAGAGAGTAGTCAAAAGGCAGACGCGCACAAATCAGAAACTCTAATTCTCTTAACTCAGCAATTAGAACTTCGCGGTTTAAATACCGCTCCTTCTCATTAAGTATTCAGACGTGATTCTAAAACTACGTTCTGGCCGTAGTTTTAGAATCACGTCTGAATCACGTCTGAAGTCATAAGTTGAAGTTAAAGATTTGATAGGAAAGAAGTTTAACCCAAAATTAAAACTGTTAATAAAATTAAAATAACCTTACACTCTCAAGTGAAAAAGTACCTATGCATGGCTTTGTGTGCATGCATTCAACGCTAAAAATTTCATTCTTTTTTAAAACCAGAATGATAAAAATGTATTAATTGACAAGATTTTCTGTATTTTTCAAGAAAATGTGTGGCAGTCTGAGGCAGACGGGAGGAAAAAAAAGCTTTTCTCGATGAGAAATTACTTTTGAGTTTTCCATTTTGCCGCATTTAGTGACGAATTTTAGATATTCGTTCTTTCTATAAACTTTTTTTTTAAATTGATAATATGTGATTGAGCAAATGCGTAATAAATTAAAAAGTAGAAAGCCTGGGCGACCATTATAAATTAAGAAAATAATGGCTTTCCAGTTGGCAATACAATTAAATTAATATATTTCGTTATAGGCTTTCCCAAACTTATTATTTGCGATATAAAATTATAGATAGATTCTCTAAATAGAATTATTTAATTTATTATGCCTATTAAACAATACGATAAATTCATTTTTCTTCTTTTAGCGCATTAAGTGACATTAAGACCCATTTCAAATAAAAGTTCATTGTATAAAAATCTTTTTTTTTTAAATTGTATTTTATTTGAATAATATTACGATACTAAAAGAAGACATGCTGAAGCTATTTACTAAGAAAACGCTTTAGCATGTGTAAAGCAAAAACCTACATTTCGTTTAAGATTGAAAACGTTAATAAGGATAAAATATGTTGAAAACATTTCAGAAAACGTGCTTGAATTCTTATTCTATATGTGTTCGAATTGACAAATATTTAAAAGAATTAAATTAAAATAAGGGAAAATGTTTTTGACACCACATGTATTAACGTATGAGGGAGAAAACATCCTTTTTAAGTAAAATAATGCTGCAGACCTCAACAAAATTTGTCAAATGGACATTATACAACAAATCTAAAGCTGAACGGCAGAACTGGTGGGACAACGCCGAATAAAGAAGAAGGACTTATCAGTTGTTCCCCAAAGTAGGCACAGCTCCCAGTTTAATAACAAGAGAAATAACGTGGTTCTTATCAGGGCATGGCCCTTTTCCCACGTACTTCTATGCATAGAAACTAGCAACCTCAGATTAATGTGCATGTGGAGAAAGAGGCAGTCCCGAACATTATATATTCAAATGCCCCCTTACAGCTGAACATCATCTAAAAGTCCCGAATTCAGAGAGTGAAGTGACTCCCTTTATTAGATACTCTACCAAGAACATCCATCGCCGGAAAAAAAATCATAATTATAATGAGCTTTCTGTCCACAAGAGGCACTGAGCTATGCAGCACAACCTAGAATAATATAACAAAGCTATTACTTAAAACATAGTATGCAAACAGACCTGGAGCTGCCCTCCATAGCATGTACGTGCGAAAGGCACCAACTGTAAAAACACCTATGTATATATAAGGGAAAAAGAAAGGCACTGCCCGCGGTCTGGTAAAATACAAAGCATTGCAAGAAAGGCCTGGCAGGATCCCCTGTAAGTCCTGTGGGGTGTAATTTATCTGGATATCTAGTGTGGCTGGAGAATACCCCCATTGCCAATGGTTATACAATGGGTGTCCACCACATTTCTCCATATCCATATCCATATATAAGTTAAATATATTTAAAATTATTATAAAAATAAACTAAAATTAAACGAAACTATTGACGACTATCAAGTCCTTTGATCACATGCGTCAAGCCATAGATTATCTTCAAAGGGGTGGTGCAGTATGTTAGATATAATATTAAAAATTAAATCAAAGGATAACAGCCTACGTCAGGGCTAGTGGTCACAGATGACATATGTTTTCACTGTAATCAGTGTGAGACCATACATTGTTTCATTCAGCGGCAGCATTTTTCAAAGCAAGTGAAAGTTTAACATATTATAGGGCAAGACAACAAAACATAGCATAAAGCGTCAAAAAATTTTTGCAGACATTTTTGTTCAGTTAAGAAAATTTTAAAGCTTTGTAAGGATCTTAAGTTTTACTAACGTTTATTTTATTTTAAATCTTTACTATCACTTCTTATTTTCTACTTCCGGCCAGAATTATAAGCGTGAAGGAGTTTATGCAAAGTTGTCTGGCGAACGCCAAGTATTTAAGTGTGGCCTTTTTGCCAAGCAGAAGAGAGGAAGCCGTGAGTTCGAAGCAGGCCGCTTACCTTAGAAGTTACGCAGTTGCTACTTTGCCTTCCAGGCCAGAGGTTTTAATCCTCTTGATAAATTAAACGTATTGTAGTGTTCACAGTCTCTGTGCTACATACGCTTTCTGTTATTATAAGGCCAATCTTATTCTAAAGTTAAATTAGAGTTTAGTTTTATTTTGATATCTTTTAAGTTAGACCCCGAGTGGAGGGTCATTGTATTCCGAAGTACGGAAGTCATTGTATATAAAGAAAAAATAAAGGGTTTTGTATACCCTTCGTCTGTATCCTGTCTACTTACTACAATTAGTGAACATAGCTTTAGTAAGCTCTCTGTTCTAGTCAGGTCATTGTATGTTTCCGAAGAAGGTTAGAAGAAACATTGAACCTGATAGCTTAATTTAAATATTTTAAAAATTTCTCTTTAGAAGTCACAATATTTGGTGCGTTAGCTTTAAGTAATTAAGAAAAATTTATTCTTCAAAATTATTAGATATTATAATTTTAACTGGATCCAAAATTCGGAATTCCTATACGATACTGAATTTCAGGAGCATTTTAAAGCACTAGTTTTGATTTCACAACTAGAATTAAATTTATAAGTTTAGCATCTTCAAAAATGATTTTCTTGTAAGTTTCAGAATTGCTGTAGACATTTTCTTATAGAATATAACCAGATTCACCTGTTATTTCTAAGTTATTAAACGAAAGATAAATATAAAAATATCCTTTATTTAAAGAATCTAAATCCTTATAACTAACTCGTTTCGCTTTGCGAGATGCGTAAAGGTAAATCATTACTTTTATCAAAATTTTATCTTTAAATTGCAGCAGAATTTGTTTGAGTTTCAACAAGCTGTGTTTGCAGTAAACGCAGTGGATATCCAAACAGAAATCTAGATTCCAAATTAAAATTTTATTAGGTAAACAGAACCGAAAAGTTTGCAAATGAGAAATTATTAAAATATTGCGTAGTTTTGGAACGGAATGGCCTTTAAACGCACTTTTAGGAACTTAAATGAAAATTAAAGCCAAACATTAAAATACAGTGAAACTTCGGCTCAGGAATTCATTTCTTTTCTGAAAAGAGTTTCGTTCGTCAACCGAAATGTTTCATAAATCGAAACAGGTTTTCCCATAAGAGTTAATGTAAATTAATAAAAACATTCATGGGATGCAAATGATAGCTTATCTACACTTTAAAACAGTACTCTATGCACAGTCAGAAACCCAAAGTAATGGAAATCAAAAATAAATAAATAAACAACAGCAAAGGGATAAACTAGACGCAAACTTAATTTACTTTTACTTTGCTTATATGAACGAAAGTGAATGGCTTGATTGCAAAAGGATGAGAAAGATGTTATTATCGACATAATGAAATCCTTTTCTATAAAAACACCAGGTAACTGTTTTTTTTTTAATCTTTTGCTCTAAGCGCAAATCGACTCATTTGAAACTCATTGGGTTTCTGTTTCACTCAAAATTTGTTATCAGAGTGTTTATCAGAGTGTTATCCGTATGTGAAAACTTTACATCTTACCCCATTTTGAAAATCAGAGAATTACAATACATTTTTATTCTTCTTCTTAAGATATTTCTTCCACAGTCCCTTTCTTGTTGCTGCGTCATTATTTGTTGTAGTTCTTTCTTGTTCAGCTGACTTTTATGGCCCTTTAATAACTTCTACACGTTTTTCTTCTTAATTTTTTTGGCCCAAGGTTTTGGCTTGAGACACAATATCATAAATAACAAAAAGCACCCCAAGTGTCAAAGAGCTCAAAGTCTCTGCCTGCAACCCAATCTGAATGTCCTGTAAGTAACTTACTGCCAGGATTTGTCAATGAGAATTAAGCAAAGGATAATATTAAAATAATATTTCCTGAAGCTGAGTAAAGTTCCTGACTTTCTGTTTATTTAAAGAAAGATCAACGAACCCAACAATATTAACTATCCAGCTTAAGTCACAAAATAGTTCACATCTAAGTCCTTATAATGTAAATATAGTTGTAGCTGATATTAGGCACTTTAATATCTTTCTGCTTTATAACAAAAGTTAATCTTTGCAAACCAAACATATATTTATACCTGTTTGTCATTTTCTTTCGCAGTTTTGTGCCTCGTCTCTATCGCTCTTCTCGTCTCCAGAAACGCATTTCTTTGGGCTCGATCTGTTAAATACTTAGTGTACATGCTTACTATATTAATGCATATGTACAGCAAAGCATTGGTCAGCACCTGAAAAGAAATATACATCAGTAAATTATGCTATTATGAAACTAAATGTACTGAAGATCAAGAAAGTAAGTATTTGTTGTCCAACAAGATCTTACTAGTCAAGTGAAATCACACGTTAGATAAAGATTCGCAAATGAATAGAAATATTTATTGGAAACCTTCTGTTAAAAGAAAAAAAAAGCTACTGGAAAGTATTCTTTAAAACATAAAACTAAATAACGCTTGCTTATGTATATTAGAACTGCGTTTATCTTGACGGCAATTAACAAAGACTCCATTTATCCAGATCAGTTACTCTTCTTTCACGAGAAACAAACATTTAGCTTGCTTTTAATTCATTCACTTTTTTCTTAATGCTCCTATGGACTTAAATAACCGTAAAGATGAAACAGTATAATATATTATATGGTATCTTATAATAATTAACCAGTTATTATAATATCAGTCATTACTGTAACGGCTTCTTTCCGTATTCCTCACCAGAATGCAAATTAGTTGCGAGTATTTAAGCTGATTTTTTTAATTTTCAGCCAAAGAGTGTTTCTAACTTAGCGTGTTCGCCACGTGGTTAGTTCCTGCCAACTTTAACCACATTTGTAAGTCTTTAGCTTTGCGACCCTTTCTCCGCCGATACTTTAATTCTGACTCATTGGTAGAATTATTGAGCCAGCTTCTAGAAAAAGCATTTTGCTATATAGTCCTTCACTACTGTTCAACATTTAATTTAAATTTTACTGTTCTATTTATTTTAATCACTACAGATGGTGGTTATTGTAGCCCAAGAATATAACCTTATGCCTTAACATAACCTTTAAGTTCTACTTCAATAAAAAGGTTAATATAATCTTCTTGAGAATTTGTCGATAATTTCAGACATAGCGGTAATTCTTTTCACTGTGTTGCATTGTAGGACTAAAATAGCATTACAGGATTAAGTGTAACCGTATAAGTGGCACTCGAACAAATTACGTATAATGTCACAAGAAAAGCAATATATAGACTGGCCTGTCCACGATTGCGAGCTCCACCAGCACCGGAAGTCCGATGGAAAGTTCTGGATTTACATTAGACACTACATGAGCGTTGATGAAACCAGCCATTAATTTTGATAGCAGAAGTTTAGTAGTAACCTTTTTGAAAAACTTAGACACACATTTTCTACTTTGCCCGGTTGCAGAATTACAGGAAATTAGTATAGCAGCTGCCACACTCGGCACGGAGCCACTATCGGCACTGAGCTAGTGAAAAAGCATCGGTAAATTTGTATTGTGCGAACCAGGCAGTGAGAGATACAAGTTTGAAGAGATTAATACTGCCCTTGTGAAAGCGTTCCTCGTTGTAAAAGTTAGGGAGAAAGTAGAAGCGTTAACTTTTTGGTAGATATCAAACTAAGGCTGAAGAACTGACTGAGCCTATATTGAGGAAAGTACGAAGTCGTGGATTTATTGTATGATAAAAGAACCTGATGCCGAGGTTATCCAAATAATTTCGCCTGAGTTGTTGCTTCTGATTAAGGATTTTGTTTTGAATTACAAAACCGGGCATGCTAGAGCAATTATTCGAGTCAGCGGTGAAGCCCGGATGTACGGGATTGTCAATGAATACACGGACAGCAAACTATGAAGAGGCCCAAAGGATACTTTACAACAACGATGGGCAAACTTTTGCGGTCGCGGGCCCAAAATCGAAAACAAAAAGTTTGGCGAGCCAAGATAAATTATTCTAAAATTTTAAAAACAATATTGCGATTTCATTTTGAAAAGTTCCTTATATTGAGTTTCGAAGCACTGATTCTAAGGAACGAGGTTAAATACTGATCTGTTCAGTCTACTTCTGAAATACTTCTTTCTAAGGTTCATAGTTGAAGACAGTTGTTCACATATATAAGATGAAGCAAACATAGCAGTGATTTTCTGGGCGTGAGATATTGTTTGGGAAACTTACTTTCGATAATTATTTATAAAACTGTAACTTTGGCATATTTAGAAAAAAAAAAAAAATGCTTGAGATGATTGTTAGATTGCAACTCAATTAATTCAAGCTGTAAATCTGATCTCACTGCTTCACATTTTACTTTGAAAGGCATGGTAAAATTATCCAATTCTTTTTGAATCGCACTGAAAGTTTTGTTCGAAATCAAAATGCAGTTTTTCATGCCATCCTCATAATTTTTAAGCATCTCTTCATTTATTGAAGGTATTGCATTTAACCTCGGGAAATGAGACAAGTCGTTCTTAGCTAGCTGCCCAGCAAACAAATTAAGTTTTTTTTATTAAGTTAATATAATTAAGTTAAAATTAAGGTTTTTCTAAGAAATCTAATTCACCTATATTGGATTCCTATATGTCTGCTCCCCGAGAAAGAGATAACGCTTGTTGGCGCCAATCTACAGCTGTAACTAACAAAGAATTTCCACTTTTAACACTTTACCAACTGAAAGGTGTCTGTGCTTGCTATTTCCGTCAATTTATGTTTTTAGAACAAAAATAGAGAAAGTAAAAAAGGCTTCAGCCCTTTGAAAAAAGGAAGAAAAATAATATTTAAACAAAGTAGAAAAAGAGACACATATTTCTTTTAATTTGCATCGGACCGGCAAATTAAAATTTTATCCAGGAGCCGTAGTTTGCCCATCAATGCTTTAGTAGATCTGTAGCGGATGGAAGCCCAACATTTGATGGAAGTAGACGCTTTGATAACCGGAAAAAATTTTCACCCGCAATATGCGATCTCTAAAATAAATCGGAAAAGCGATAACTTGGGGAATATAGGAAATTTTTAAACTAGGCAGGAGTGATGAAATGCAGAGGGCACAGTCAGCCCGGAAAGAAGAAAATCCCTCTCATATTCAAGTAAATACAGTGTTGATAAAAAATATTCCCTCCTGGTGATTCAGATTCTGTTAAAGAGCGTATCAGCGGATGCATTATTGAATACGGGAGGCGCAAAGTAGTTTTCGGCATAAAAATATTTTAGGAAAACTTCTAAACGGTGGAGAGTGTTTGGTGTCGCGGGAACAATGATAATTGAATAGGGCAAACAGTGTGAATGCGTAGGGAAAGTAGCCTTGAGTCTGAAAGTGAAAATTAACACTAGAAGGTGGTTTTTCTTGTTATGGAAAAAAAAGAGAAATATACAGCCTAATGTAATATTGGGTATGGATTTTGTAAAGACTGCTGGGCGAAATAAAATTATAATCTCCATAAGTCCTTATGTTAGTCCTGTAGTGCTGTGACGAAAGAAAAATAATCTGCCGCTCACTGATTTTAAAATCATGGCGTTTTGCTATTGACTATAGAAAATTAAATAAGTTAATAAAATAAATATCCAATTTGCACCCTGCTACTAATTGGCGAAACAATTAGAAAATTCAAATCCACAAAATATATGATGAAGCTAGACCTCACCTCTGGATACTTTCATATAAAGGGTACCCACCGAATTCCGATACCACCCGTTTAACTTCCTATCGGCTGCAGCTAAGTAATAAAACTGGTATCTAAATATAGTAAAGTGGCTATGCGCAGCTGGAGATCGTACAGCGTCACCATGTGGAAAACGGAGGAGTTAGCATTCCTTTCTCGAAAACGGTACGAAATAGGAAGAGAATGTGATATTAAAGTTGGAAAGCATAATCCACCTTGCGGATGTGAATGTTAACAACAGAACGTTTTAAACGCGCATTTGTTTGGTCGTTGTTTCCTACACTGTGACCTGACGGAACGATCTTAGGAAGAAAACAAAACAACTAGTTATTACAAGATATATTTATTTTCGATGTTCAGTCTTCTCTCCGTCAGCTGAAATGCACCTCTGGACCTTTGTTAGAACTTCACGTTGCACACACTGTAGCAGCGGGTGATACGTTTGCATAAGCATCCTTAATACGTCGTTGAAGGTCTTGCAGTGTTTGCGGAGGGGGTGGTATCCATCTATGAAGTATCCTCACAAGAAAAAGTCCATTGCAGTCAGGTCAACTGAACGTAGAGGCCATTTTTTGAAAGAACCATACCCGATTATTCGTTCTCCAAATTCTTTCATCAGGTACTGCTTCACTGGTGATAAAACCAAAGTCACGTTTTGAAAATCGTTCCATGACCATGACCTTCAGCATACAACCCAGAGGAGATATCTATGTTATAGCTGTCTCTGGTGAGCAGGTGTGACGTTTCATATACTAGTTGCACGATGCACAAATTTCGTACAGCAAGCTCAAGTTGCGTTAAGCTGATGCGTTTTGCGACACGATTGCGTACGATCTACAGATTAACTACTCTGTTTGTAAAGACAATCATTATAAGAATGCACCCCACGGGATCTGAATCACAGTTCTCGCGATTGGGAATTTTTGCGATACCATTGTGCCGCGATACGGGCTTGTTTTTGTCGGAAAGATAATCTTTTCTTAAGTTTCGTGACGTCACAGTTACGGAAATCGTTAAGAAACAAATAATAGGTTTCAGCGTTCTGTATTTGCATTCATATCCACAATGTGTCTGTTCGTGCTAAATTTATGATGCACTACAACTTTGTAATTCTTTCTTTCCTCTTATCTCGTACCGTTTTCGAGATAGGAAGGTTAACTCAAACGTTTTCTACCTGGTAAGCGGTCTCATAGTAGCGCATAGCCACTTTACAATAAATAGACGGCACTTTAATGACTATAGCTGCAGCCGTTGGACTGTTAAACGTAGTAATAAATTACATAAAAAACTTGTTCTAACATAAAAAAGTATGTTTTCATATATGAATATAGTTTTGCTATTAATTTATTTACGTTCTTTTAACGTTTCTGTCAATTTAATTAATACAAAAAAGATAACATAATATAGAGTATACGTTTTTATTTTAAATTTATTTCCGTTTTTTAATGTTTCTCTTAATTTAAATAATATCGAAAAGATAAAACAGTGTAGCATATATATCTGATTTTAATTTATTTATGCAATATTTGTTTTGATTATTTTAAGTAATGAAAAAGATGAAACAGTATAGTGTATTAA